GCGAATCGACTGGTATCCAACATTAGTCTGAATGCTAATGTCTCCAATACTTGTTTTTTTTTTTAATAGCTAGAATTTTCTATTCGAATAATGCCAAAATCTCCAGAGTTGTACGAGCTGGAAAGTTCTCTGTGGGAAGTAGCGTGATAGGATGCAGCTGTGTCTATCACCTACTCTGTGTAGTTGTAGTCAGCCACGTGAAAGCAATCCTCCTCTTCACCAACTACAAGAAGTATTTCATCAGTTGTTGGGGTTGTCATCTTCTCATCTCCCTTTGTTTTATTGCTTTGGCTTTTATCTTTCCGGCTTGGGCAATTTCTCCTTATGTAACCCTCCTGGCCACAGTGAAAGCAAGTGAAACTGGAGTTTTCTTGACTTTTGTTGTCTTTAGATTTACTCCTGTTATTCCATCTGCCTCTGCTCTTGCTTCTTTCCATATTGTTTCTTTTACCTTTGTTTTTGTCTCTGCCTTCTGTGACAAGAGCATGTGACTGATTACCCCTCATGTCTTTCTTCCTTACCTCTTCATTAAGTATGGCATCTGTGACCATGCTCATGGTCAGTTCCCTTCCGATGTAAAGTTACTGAGAGAGACCACCAGCATCTCCCAACTGTCAGGTAAGGAACTAAGCAGTAGTAGGGCTTGCATTTCATCATCCAAGGGCATCTTGATGATTGCAAGTTAATTCACCAGATTTTGGAATTCACTGGTGTTCTACAACAGATACACCATTCTACAATTTCAGGTTTACAAGTCTTCTTATCACCAAGGCTTTATTTCGGATGGTCTTTGATCGGTACATTTCTTCTAACTTCATCCTGAGGGCATGGGCATCTGTTTCCTACGCGACATGATGAAACATACTGTGGTCTATCCATTGACTAATCTGATCAACAGTCTTTTGGTTTTTGTTCTTCCAATCATCATCCTTCTCATCTTCTGGTTTGACTCCTCCAAGCTCAATAGGGTCAACAGATCTCTGCAATATAGGATGTCTTCCATTCTTGGCTTTCAGTTTGCATAATTGGAAGCATTTAATTTGATCATCGATCTTGAAGTTGATGTAGATTCCTCCATCATCTTCTTTCTTTTTAAAAGAACTCTAATTCAAAATTCTGACCTTAAGGATGTGTCCGAAATACTCTAAATAATTGAAAAACACTATTCGATTGTCAAAATCGGACTTCAAATCTCTCAGATCTAGCGAAAACAACCTTAGCAGTTCATATCAACATCTATAACTTAGCCGCGTTGTACCATATCACTCTTCTACCTTCTGGGTTGGGTCAAGTCACGGTCAAGTTAGTTCAACCCGACAAACTTGGGCTATTGACGTGTCATCCATGTTGCATTGACAGTTGCTAACGTGGCATTGACACATGGCACTGATGCGTGGTTGGTCGGCAGCAGTGCGGCTCCAGTTTTGGTGGACGACGTCAGTTGTCAGTGGCATGATGTCAACGACTAGCGGTAAGATGATGTCAACGATTGGTTCTTCTGGGGACGACGCGTGACGTGTGTGGTCAGGCTGCGCCGCGCGTGAAAATGACATTGGAAAGCATATGGGGCTCATGCGGGCAACTTCGATGTCCTTTTTTGATACAGTTTTTTTCTATGTGTTCGCATCGTCGAAAGCTTCAACCTTTTGTGATCAAAAGTGGATTTCAACCACTTTGAAATCTGGGCAAACAACACCCCATGTTTCACTAAAAAAATAAACCAACGAGACTCTAATACCACTTGTTAGGATTATGGACACCTAAAACTCAATCTCACACACACAGGTCATAGAAATTTTATACGGTTCAGCCCAATGCCGACATCCACAAAGCAGAAATGAAAATTTCACTAAAACAGAGCAAAATACAAACAAAGGAGGAGGGGAAGATTTCTCTCTCAACTCATAACTCTCTCTCTCACTCTCTCTAATTTCTGATACACTCAGTCTCTCCTTTTCTCTTTATTTATACGCTAATCTGATGAAGATGAAAACAAGGTTTGTGGGTTTGGCAAGTTAGGTGGCTACCATTCTTGACTTCTTTCAAGCTTCCAGATGGTGTGGATTCACAACATGGAGGATGCCAGGTACGAAGGATCGACTTGGCCACCAGAGAAACGTATTCGAAGAGCGAGTGTTCGATACCACGCCTCCGTTCTGGTTCGAGTTCAAGTTATGTGTAGAAAAAGAGAATGAAGAAATAGTTTCTGATTACCATAAATGACAGAGCTTGTAGAGCTTCTCATCGGAGTGAGACTTGTGGTGGGGTAGTATCGAACCAAATCTGAGGCGAGAGAGTGTAGATCTAAGGTGGCGGAGTCCGATGATACAAAGGAAGACCAGATCTGAGTCGTTGTCATCATTATCATCATCATCATCATCACATAGATAGATAGAGAGAGAGAGAGATCGTTAGCCAGCGTTGAGTGGTGATCATTAGCCAGCGCTGAGTGGTGTTACACGATGGAGGAAATCAACAACAGTTGTAGCGGCATTGACCGGAGAGAGGCGGTGATTAGAGAAGGTAGAGGAAGCGACAGCAACAATCACAAGAGAGAGAGAGAGTTGGTTGGGTTTGATTTGGTTCACGTGTATACCATATATATACATGGATAGGTTGGTCATTTTAAAAGAGCTTGTCCTTATGGACAAAATATTTTAAAATTTAGACTTTTGAAAAAAGAAAAATCAAAATTGAATTTGTGGACCGAGTGCCCTTTCTATAATGGTGTAAAATTTATAAGTGAAGTTAAATAAAAAAATCTTATACGTATGATATGAGTATTTTCTGTATTTGGTATAAATATTTTTTGTATGTCAAATTTCAAAATAAATTTACATGCAATTATTTTAAAACTATTACACTTTTTTACAAATTTTTTTGGGGATAATATACAAAAAAGAAAAAAGAAAAAAGAAAAAAAATAAAATAAAACAGAACATCTGATGTCTCAGGCAGCCACCGTCTCTCAAGCAATTGTAACAAATTATTTGCCTAATTGAATATTTGGTCTCATTATTTCAAATTGAGGGAAATATAAGGAGGGTATAAATAAGTCAATGTCATTATTTCATCTGTATGGGTTGTAAATTTAAAAATGTATATAATTATAATAAAATAAAATAATAGAAGCCAACCTAATGAATGAAATTGAAGGAAATGAGGGTTTTGATCTCTATATAATAATAAAAAAATCATTAATCCTAACAACATTAAAACTTTTCGTTCGTCGTATACAAATTGAACTAATTATATTCATTTAATACATTTTTTAATAAAAGACATTAATTTTTATATTATTTATTATCTTTTTATACTTTATTTTTCCCGAGACCACTGATATGTAGTTTTTCTTAAAAATAAATTTATTTTTTCCATTATCCAATTAAAATACAAATTTGGAACAAAAATTCTTAAAATATTTCTTTTATTGATCTAGCTTTTTTTTTTTTTTTTACAGGAAAATCCTCCCTACCCTCTCGCAGGTTCAAGACAGCACCTCTTGCAGAGATCACCAGGATGTCCTGTTAGCCGTTCCGAGCGAGAAGACTATAACTTAGGAAGCGGGAGAACATTGAACCCACACCAAGTACTGATTAGATAACTTGAGATCTAACTTCCTAACTAATTATGCTTCGCCCAAGAGATTGACCCAAAAAGAAAGAAATTGAACCTGTGATCTTGAGACTTAAACCCCAAGCCTTAACCACAATATCAGCCCTGATTCTTTTATTAGTATCCTACTTGAATTTTTTTTTTGGAGTTGATGGCACAGGTTTTCATGAGATCAAATACATAATCACGTGAGTGAAATGATTGGACCATTTGCTGAGGTGGTAGCCAAAAAGTCATTTTGATTATTTTTCCAGTCATTCGCTTGGGGCTGTAGCATTACTGGTTAAAAATAATGTCACTTGTGAGAACCATTGAAAATGGCCGCATAAACCACTAAAAAACACAGAAACAAGTAGATCTCCATCCACTTGAATATTATATGCCACAATGTTCAAATAAGCACAGAATAAATGGGAGCACCAATCCGCAACCCGCAAAGATGTTATATTTCAAACCGCATCCGCCCGCATTGTATTTGCGAAACCGCCCATTTGTGTGTGGATTGGGCGGGTTGGGCGGTTTTTGCGGATCGGATAAACCGTTGCCCACCCCTAATCCTAACAACATTAAAACTTTTCGTTCGTCGTATACAAATTGAAGTAATTATATTCATTTAATACATTCTTTAATAAAAGACATTAATTTTTATATTATTTATTATCTTTTTATACTTTATTTTTCCCGAGACCACTGATATGTAGTTTTTCTTAAAAATAAATTTATTTTTCCCATTATCCAATTAAAATACAAATTTGGAACAAAAATTCTTAAAATATTTCTTTTATTGATCTAGCTTTTTTTTTTTTTGTTACAGGAAAATCCTCCCTACCCTCCCGCAGGTCCAAGACAACACCTCTTGCAGAGATTACCAGGATGTCCTGTTAGCCGTTCCGAACGAGAAGACTATAACTTAAAAAGCGGGAGAACATTGAACCCACACCAAGTGCTGATTAGATAACTTGAGATCTAACTTCTTAACTAATTATGTTTCGCCCAAGAGATTGACCCAAAAAAAAAGAAATTGAACCTGTGATCTTGAGACTTAAAACTCCAAACCTTAACCACAATGCCACCCACCACCCCTGGATTCTTTTATTAGTATCCTACTTGAAATTTTTTTTTGGAGTTGATGGCACAGGTTTTCATGAGATCAAATACATAATCACGTGAGTGAAATGATTGGACCATTTGCTGAGGTGGTAGCCAAAAAGTCATTTTGATTATTTTTCCAGTCATTCGCTTGGGGCTGTAGCATTACTGGTTAAAAATAATGTCACTTGTGAGAACCATTGAAAATGGCCGCATAAACCACTAAAAAACACAGAAACAAGTAGATCTCCATCCACTTGAATATTATATGCCACAATGTTCAAATAAGCACAGAATAAATGGGAGCACCAATAGCACCAAAACAGAATTTTAACTTTCAATATCAGCCCAATTGACTATAGATGGAAGGAAGCTAAACAAGTTACATATTACTTGTGCAAAATCTAACCTAAAAGTAATAAGAAGCTTCATAACAAGAATATCTATGATCCTATCCACGTACCACAATCCAAAATTTCTTTCTAAAATCTATAATTTAAATAAAGATAAAGCTAGTTCACTTTTGCCATGTTTTAGCGTCTTTACCTAGGCAACATGTTCATGCCAAGCCAGTTTTCTCGTCTTCAACCCAAAGCCCACCAGGTGTCCTTTGATCATCAAATTAACTTTTCCGGGAAAGCAGAGGACGCATGAGGGCCACAAATAGGCAAAACTGAAATGCAAACACCCAAACATGGCCTTTAAGAATTAACTTGACCCCGGGATGACTCTCCCAATCCTACGTTTGGTTCAACTTTAACTCTTTTGTAGAACAACACATAAGCTGCAGAGGTCTTTATGTCAGCTTCACCAACCGGTGATACATGGGCATCATCAAAATGATACCATCTGTTCTCATCGATTAACTGCAAATTCAAAAAGCAAGCCACCCAAGTTAATCCAGTGTCCTATAAAAGAATGATCACATAGCATGGCATGGCAACGCACAATAGTTTTGCATGATACTCCAAAAGTTAAATGATACCCTTAAACAATAATAATTATAATAATAATAAAATTAAGGACTCTCGGACTCAGTTCTCAAATCCTAGTAATGGTATTTTCGACATGGAAGTTCCTTGGACACACTTTAGAGCATGACATATTGTCAAATGACAACCAAATGTCACAAAGATCTAAGTAGACGAAAGTTCCTTCAATTGCTCCTATGAAACACAAAAAGCAGTAGTGATGCAGACTAACTAGGGGAATGGCATAATCTAGGTTTTCAGGCAGTTAACAGGAAGAAAATAAAAAAATAAACAAAAGAGGAATAATATATCTAATGAAAAATCCACACGTACATAAAGCATAATTTGTGTATACCTTAGCATAAGCAGAGTAGTGCCCCCCACCAAGGCCACCATAGTGGTTGCTAATGGCATAGAGCTCATACACAAGAGATTGTCCAAATGCATCCTTACATTTGACATATTTGCTCAAATCAAGATTATGAATCGGGAAATTCACAAAAGTGTCGAGTTTGTTCTTCAGGTATCGGCTGTATGAGAACCGCTTTAAGTGAAAGACTAGTATATCTGGCAACCGCCACAAGTCTAACTTCTTAGTGGCTTGCCTGTGTTCCTTGCAACCAGGGCAGTACCTGCATTGAAATTTTAATTCACAATAAAAGATGACGCCCAAATCTATAAAAATTAAAATTAAAAAAATAAATAAAAATTAAAAATAGAAGAAGATGATGCTGTGATACTCGAGGCGAATCAGCCTGAAAATATGTAATTCTGCACTATCAAAAGTGTTATTTAAGTATAAGTAATCTACCACATGTCATCAAGCCCTAACGGTTCCTTCTGTAAAAATGCATCCAAACACGAAAACAAAGAGACAGCTTCTTGCCGTGTTTTCTTCACAGTAAGGCCAGTCTTGTGAACCACTGGAAGATCCTTCAGGTAGCTGGCATCATATAATTCATGTTCTTTGTAAGTCCAATCCAGCATAACCTTAACCAGTTGACCAGGTTTTACAAGTGAATCCTTTGAAATTGGCCTGCAGCTGTCATCCGTTATGAAGCAGAGCTGAAAGGTCAACTCCCTGCAGGATATTTCTTCCTGTTCTGCGTTGTCCATCATCAACTGGTTTCCAGGTCCAGAATGGGTAACGCAGCTGTCTGTTGATTCGTCAATAGCTTCTGAAGCAGAGCCATTTTCCTTGCCACCATTAAGCTTACTTGAACTAAAATAAGTTTTCCTTATCAATGGAGACAACACTCTACTAACAGCAAGATCAATGTCAGCTCCAGTTCGTGTGTTCTCCAGATAAGTAACCAGTGGTGTCAAGAAAATCTTCCCCTCACTTCCCTTCAAATTATCTGAGGAACATCTGGAAAGCATTGAGGCTTTAGTTACTAGGAAACAGTAAAAAATAATAATAATAATTTATATCCATACTATTGTAAGGTGAAGGCATGAGTTGGTGTATATGTCTCACTTTTTTGGTTTTCCCAAAATTCCCCCTACTGGGCATTTATGCCCTAAATTCAGTATTTTATTTTTTTTCATTTCAATTTTCAGATTTTGAATTTAATCATACATTTCACAATCTTATTTTTCTGAAACAAAATGATTATATCACGCACCGTGATTCTTGTGTGCCACCACTTCTAGTAATAATAAATGTTTGCTTTAAAGAGTAAAGGTACCATCTATCCTAGTACATAGCAGCTGGACTTTAAAGAGTAAAGGTCACATCCGTCATTAACGTTTTTTTTTTTTTTCCTTCTTTCATTCTTTTCCATTCTTTCTTCTGGGTTTTTTAAAGGCCATCCCTGTCATGTAGCCCATTTCCTTCAGACCAAAAATAAAAACATCAATCAGAGCATCTATGCAACAAGGCACTTTGGTGTCACCAAAAATAAAAACATCAATCAGAGCATCTATGCAACAAGGCACTTTGGTGTCCTTAGTGAGGCAAACAAACCATGGACACAGCAGACATGTCAGCCCAGCTACAGAAACAGGCTATCAGGGTACATATAAACTAATAGTCTAGTCAGGCTTATATTGAAGAACACACACACCGATGATATTGTACTTTCACAATAATGAATACACCCAGAGCCTTTTTATAATGGTATCACTATCAAGAATTAATCCCAGGACACATTCCCATACATCACCTTAACAAGCAGCAAGATTAGCAAAATCTAAAATAAAATCATTTTCACCACTACCAAAGACGGCCATCCTTCTAACTAAATGAGATAATAGACCTGATGTCATCCAAGACAAGACCAAGACCACACAAGGCATGCAAGTATTAAATAGCTGTAGGCTGGAACTCAGGAAACTTATTGTTTTTTGAAACTTAACCCAGTGGAAACCTCATTGATATGGTTTCAAAAAAGATCACTCACTTTTCTAGGTCACAATGACATATCTCTAGTCTTGTTAACTCTGCCTGACTTTTTGGAAGTCTGTAGGCTACAATATGCTCATCATCTTTTATAATAGACAATGGTTCCAAAGGGCTCACTAAATATCGATATATTCGATGATCATAAACCTGCAAATAAAAAAATCCAGGGCTTCATAAGAATAGGACATAAGAATAAACAGCTGATTAGTCAATAAATAACAAAATTCGAGAAATATATTGCCTCAGCAAGCAACAGGCTTTCATCACTCCTTAAGCAGCATGCAGTCCCCAAAGCCTGAACAAGATCTTTGCAGCAGCCAATCTTTTGGACAGTAACCGTATATGGCATTGGAAGAACACTCCCATTACTATCAAATACAGTTACTGTCATTGTCCGAGTGACCGTAGAGGGCAGAGGCAATGATAAGTACATGAATGGGTCAAATGTTATTGAAATTTTGTTGCAAACTGGGCAGACCAATGTTGATTTATATTGTCCCTGAGCATTTTGCAAACATCAAGCAAGCTGTTATTAAAACAATGATAAAATACAATGTTCAGTTACCAAAACTCTGCATTACCACCTTTGGTGCACAAACATACCAAAATGTAGTAGCTCAGGTATCAATGTATCATTCATCTTTGAATGGAGAGAGAGAGTTTAAGAGAGTTTTAAAACTGATTGCAAACAAATATGATACAAATTGTACCATTACATGACTGCATCAAGAGCACCAACAATATGATGAATTGACAGTTAATTCCAACTCCCGACGGAGGGAGGTGCATGTCAATTGATAAAGATTGGTAGGGACTCATATGCAAAGATGCAGCAATAGCTACTTGCGTTGAAACCACAAGTGCAATCAATTGATGGCTAAAACATAAAAATCCAGTCCCAGTAAGGCTCCCACCACTGCAGTGTTGGGTGACCTATGTTACATAAACTCAGGTACGAATATAGGGAATGGATAAATGTCAAACCTTCATAAACCTAAACCTTAGGATATTGGAAATTTGAGTTTTGAGTTTCTTCTTCTCCATCCAAGTGTCTAAATTGGATACGGATGTCAAACACATATCCCCCACCCTAGTCACATCCAATAAATATGGAATACTTTGAAGAAATAAAATAGTCCATGTGGTGACAAGTAGGATCTATCATTTTCTTTTTTCTCTTTCAAATAAATAAAACATAAAAAGGGAAGAAATTGATAAATCTCACCCATCGGCAAAAACTATCAGCAATAAACAACTGACATTTACTACAAACAAGCCAACCAATGAAAGAACCTAAAATTCCCAAATAAAAATTCTAAAATACTGCCTTGTCAGTTCAATTTGTCCGATATCATATGTAGAACCCAAAAAAAAATTAATAGAATAATATGGAAGAAAACCAAGAGAAGAATGCACAGCTGTTCAATATTTGAAAACAACTCCGCTACGTAGCTCGAAATATCAACAGCTCGAATGGCTCGAAATCCCAAAACAACGTCGTTTTAGGATTTTTTTTTGTTCTCTTACCGGTAAGGTAATATTTTCCGTACCATTCGAGCTCTACGCATTCGAGCTTTCACGCATTTTCCTTTCGAAAAATAATTTAATTTGTAAAAAAAAAATTTTTTTTTTGATAAATAATTTGTAAAAATTCACTCTACACTAAGCACAAGATTTATGTTATCGTCAATTATTTTGGCTATACAGAAAGGATACAGGTACTGATTGCTGAGATTATCCATAGCGATTTCTTGCAAACAAGATCTAACTTCATTTTATACAAAGCTATTACATACAAGCAGAACACAAATAGAAAGAATGTACTCACTTGGCAAACATCCACAATTATGGAGTCATTCCGAGCCTTGTGATATCTCCAACACTCCTCCGCAACTTCCTCATCAGGGCGACCATCAGAATCATTGGTTTCAATATATGGTTTTTGCTTAACACGATTTAAATCTTCATGCAGCCCATCCAGCAAGAAGGCAAGGAGTTCCTACAGTAAAAAAAATCATTACATCTTCTAAATTATTGATGCATTATATCTTATAAATTCATTATTTTCCAACATTTGCAGCAAACAAATAAACAACAAAAACAATTGAATGGCAAGAAAAAATCTGTAGTCTGAACATCAATTTTATGTGTCTGATATTGGATAACTAGTACAATCAACTAAACACTAAAAACTCTACAGCATAAATTCGGAATACAGGACATCAAATCATATGATGATGAATAACCAAACATCTTGATTAATAAACCTTAATATGCCCAACTACAACATGAGTAACTCACAACATAATACATTCAATTTCTGAAGGTATAACAAATTTTGGGATGGATAAGATTCATATAATCATTATCATCAACAATACTAAAGCTCAGTTTAATCAACAAACTGTTTCCTAATAAGAAAGTTGTAGACACACCAAATTTACCAATTTCAATTCGCAGAACATACTTTATGTTGAAAGAATATTACTTCAAAATGGCACCAGATGGAGATGTATGGACGCAAACCATAAGTGTGTATCTGTGAACCTATCACACTACCTTTCATCATCCACAAGCTGGCTTATAGCCAATACTAATCAAACCCCACAGCATCACTCACATTTCTGAACTCAATTGACAGTTTTTCCCTATGCAAAGGCATCCAAAATCTAAGCAGCACCCAGCTGTTACAATATAACTATTTCTTCAGCAAAGGACAAACATCAACAAAACCTCCAGCCTGGTCCTTCACCATAAAAGCTCTGTGATCTAAAATCAAGTGGACCTGGATGAGCTCAGAGCTTAATCCAGATGTCGAATAGCATATACCCTAACACCACAACAATCATTGCTTAATTTGGTGGCCAAAGCACATGCTTCCTGTCCCCTGATGACTATATATGCTTCGTGTTGAGTGAAAGGTGTTTCCATAAGAAGCAGGGACACTGACATGGAATACAATGATTTCAAAAAAAATGAGGACATGAACACAACAGGGACACAATAACAAATTTTTTTTATATATATTTTTTTATTTACTATGTAAATTAAGATTACATCCACAAACAATCAAAATTAACAAAAACTAACACTAATTCGATATTTTAAAAAAAAAAATATATATATATATATATATATACGTATATATATCAATTTTAAATTAACACTTACCGTTTATATCTTGTTTATGGTTGATCTATTAATTATTTAAATCTAAGCAAAAATTAATAAACATCTAACCTCCATCAAAAGCACTAAAGATAAGGGAGAGAAAAAACTATTTGGTCTGCCTCCAGAGTGTCGCTGAAGTGTCCCTGGTGTGTTCCCTAAAAAAATTAATTAATTAAAGAGATACCACATGCCATGTCCCATACGTGTCCCCGCCCTGTCTCCATTTCCGATGCCCCTACAACACTTGTTTTAAAGTGTCAGTGCTTCATAAGCAATAAGCACCTTGCTAGAGTGAAAGCACCCACATGTTTCAAGTTTCAAACAACTGAACATTAGCACCAATGATCGCGCTGCTAGAGTGCAAGTTCTGAGGTTTTCAAGTTTCAAACAAATGGATCTCAGCTATTTGACTAACTATAATCGCAATTCTTTTTCATATTCTGCTACTAATACTGAACAACTAATCCCATATATATATATATATGCATGTACTTATGTAATGTTCCTTTCACGTCACATCCACAAGCAAAAAAACTCGCTCCCGTTGAGGACGAAACTAGCTCTCAACTGAGACAGAACCTCTCAAACATCTCAAAGGAATAAAAGAAAAACAACTCAAACTTATTCTAGTACTTTCGATTTAGATAATATTTATTTCTATGAAGCACAGATAATTCAAAAAAGGAGATGCATCCGTATTGTATCTGAATTAGATACTGATATTCGAATACTCGGAAATACGTATCAGATACTTATTAAAAGCATCAGGTACTTCATACTTAATTTTTCATTAATTTCGGAGTAACGAATACTTAATTTTGAATTATCGGATACTCCAAGTCACATAATACTTCTTTTAAAAAAATTAGAATTGTTACATTTTTTGCATAGCATTATAATATAATATAATTGTAAGGATAAATACAAGAATTTTTTTCTAATACTTGGTTAGAGTTCAAGTAATAGAATTTGTCAAATTGATTTATCGTTATAATTTGATGCATGTCCCTTATAACTACATAGAAGGTAAGGATTAACAAAAAAAAATATAACAATAGTAAAATTAAATATCAATAAATAAGGAAACTTGGATACAAAATTTTTACTAGTGTCAAAGGGGAAAAACGCAATGACAAATTGTAGATTGTTCTATTATTGTAATATGACCAAATTAGACTTGATATTAAGGCTTCATTTGGGATAACCTACAAAAGCCAAAAAGTCAAAAAGCTATTAAAAAAGTCAAAAAGTCCATACTATTTGGGGGAAGCCTAGAAGGCAAAGCTATTATTTTGCCCTGTGAATACAACTACCCAAAAGTCAAAAAGTCAACAAGAGTAGAATGGTCATTTTGATTTTACTATAATATTTGATTACACATCTTTTCGTAAAAACTCAAAAAGTTATCCTAAACATACATCTTTTTTTTTTCTCTACTTTTTTAGCCAAAAAGTCAAAAAGTACACTTATATAGCACATCCCAAACAACCCTATAAATAAAATATTTGCAAGACCCATTGAAAAACTTAAATTAATACCTAATTCATAAAAGTTAGTATTTTGCATCATAAAATTACAGTGTGGTTCCTCAAATTCTTGAGCTTATATGTAACTCGCTACTATTAACTTTTTTTTAAAATATTTTTTTTTTACAAACGTATCCTAGCTGAAGCCAAACCCATATCCTAATTTTTTAGATTTTGTCCAATCACCGTATCGTATCATACCAGTATCTCGTATTTGTATCCATGCTTCCGAGATTTATTCATACTTAACAAAGACAATTTATAGTTGACATCAATCTCTAATATTTATTCATACACATATTATAACTAAATAGAAAAAATTAATTGTTAAAATATAATTTATATATAAAATATATAAAATATGAATGCTCCCATAGGCATTCCCATTCTTAGAAACTTCTATATGCCCTCATTCCCCGCCTCCACTCCATGCAACTAAGCTCAAATTAATCATGACAACAAAAACTTTGCAAAAATGATAGAACCTACTAGAAATTGAGAGCATTGTAAGGGGGGAGTAACAAGATGTCATGTGGTACTAACTTGAGAATCATGCTGATTAAACCCACTAAACTGGGGAGCAAATCGAGCAAGCTTTCCCTTGAATGCACGAGGGGCGATTGCTGTCCGCCCTGAGGACCACAGTTTTCTCAATAACTCACCAAATGCAAGTGCAAGCTCACCCTGCACAACTATTACAGATATTAGAGACCTTATGCGAAGTTTTCTGGTAATTAAAAAAATTCCCTAATAAACTAGAACAGCCACGTACATGCAAACCTAAAGGATTCTGCCTGTTGATCTCATCAGTGTAATCTTGCAAGAAGTACTTAACAAGGGGAGGTGTATGGACCAAACACTGAATAGCACTATTCATAAAACAAGTATTTCCTAAATTCTGCAATCCTGCCAAACCTCCCCTTTCGGCTTTTGCTGCAGTCCTCGAAATGTCATAACCATCTTCCATATCTGCAATACCTGAACTTAAAGTACTTCCTTGATAAAAACTGGATCCATAACTTGTTGAATGACCATTGGACAAAGTTGGGCCCCCAGCAATTGTCACAGATGATCTTGAGGGCTCTATTGGAACCAATGCTAATTCATTTCCTGTTGAATCCATGCCAAATCCACTGGGCCAAAATCCATCAACTTGGACTTCCAAAAGAATCTAACACAGATAACAATACATCAATAAATTGGCCATAAAACTAATTTTGTGAGATGCAAAATTGGACGTATTTATGGAACCATTAAGGAAAAAGAGAAAGGAAGAATATAACTTAAATGTAATAAGGCTTTTGTTTGAGTTGGGTTGAATTTCTAATTACAAATGTGCAAATGATGTGAAATACCAACTAGATGTCCTGAAGTAATCAATAAATCTAATGAAACACGTGTAACTACAAAATTCATTATGTAACACCAAAAAGAATCTTGATGAGGCTGATTATATGAGTTGGTTAAATGATAAATGATTGAAAGGGATGTAAATGAAAATTCAAATGAATAAATGATGGTATGACAAAAATAAAATACGAAGTGGCAAATATACACTTGAATCAAGTGAAACTTTTCCTTCTAAAAGGAAAAACAAGAAAGATCTTTCTCATTTGAGGGGATGAGGAGGACTCACGAGTTTGTTACATAAGACAAACCATGAATCAAAGAAAGACATAAAAGCCTATCTTCTAGGGAAAACCGAAGGACATGCTCAAAAATCATATTACGCATTGTTAACTAAAAAACAATAAACATACCCAGTGAATCAAATGTTGGGTCTATTTGGTGACGTTTACAGTTTATTGTTTTTGTTAACAAAAAACATTAAACATGTTTATATTTACTTTTGTATACAGGAAGATAAAAACATGTTTGGTACATGTTTCAAAAACTTTTGAAAAAACAGGTGAGGGGGGGTGGACAGAGGGGATCAGAGGTGGAAGGGGACTCGCCAAAGGCGGTGGCTGTCAACCACAAGTGTTTGTCGGAGGTTAAGGGGGAAAAGCCACAGGTGGTGGCCGTGGCCAAGGTGCTGGAGATGGACTCACCAGAGGTAGTGGCTAGAGGGGTCTCCAGTGGCAGTGGCCAGCAGTGGCCAATGGAGAAGGAGAAGGGAGTAAGAAATGCAAACTTAATTAAAAATAAATGAAAACAACTTTTTACGTTTATAGAATTTAGTAAACTTTTGTAAACTGCTTATATTTTTTTGGGAAAAGAAAATAGACATAACAAGTTCTTCTTTCCAATTTTTCAAAACGTTTTTGTTTCCAAACTCAAACATATTTATATAACCTTTTTTGTCCAATTTAGAACCAGGAAGATTAGAACAACTCCCACAAAAAGAAAGTCTATCCAACTAAAATTTTGAACTTTGCACAACTAAAAGAAAGCTTACTTGAACTAAAATTTTATAACCTTGCCCTGTCCCAACTACCAACAAAATTGTCATCACAAAGGAGGTATATTTTAAAATTTTAATGTGTCGATGTTGCAGGACAATCTCATGCTTCATTTCACAGTAATTAATTACTCATAATTTGTCAAATTTTGGACTAAAGTTACTAGTGAATTTTTTTTTTTTTTTTTGGATAAATCAAAGTTACTAGTGAATTTTAACACAATGCTATGCAACATTTTCTTGATTTTCACACTAATTTTTCCATGATTGATAGATTACATGTTTGACACTCTAATGCATACGGTATATAATTATATGAAGTCCTCAAACCGTGAATTTTCTTTCTCTACTTTCAATATAATCTCAACGCCAAAGCAATGCACCACAAAATACACATCATCACATCCCAATCCTGGCAAATCCACCCCCTTTTTTGTAACACTTTTCACTATAAGTAGCTTTTGTGGTCTAGTTCCCACTTTTATGTTCCAAAATTGTGATCAAGGTTCTTAAATGAGGGAGTAATGATTATCATTTCACTAATTTCCTACAAGGATACAACGTATATAGGCAACTTCTTTCTAGGTTTCGTCTCTTTCCCCATTAATTGTAAAATGTCTCTTCTTACTATGAACAATTTTTTCCACTTCCTAGACAAGTGAAGTGCGAACTTAAACCATTACTCAAAACCATTCTTGATTTTTTTTATTTTTTAAAAGTATTAATAGGTATAATAGTAAGATTTCTAGAAACTTACGAGATATCACACACTCAAGTAATGATATATAATCATATCAACATGTGTGCACTGCAACATTTTAGAAATTACAGTAAAATGGTAAGACTATTGGATTAAGGCATTTCCAACATGGAATAAAGCTAGTGCATGTGCATTGATCACACCCTTCAGATATATCAGCCAAAATTTAGTCATCAGGACTGAATTATAGAATTTTCATCAAAATTTCCACCAACTCCAAAGTAAATTTATCATCCAGAGTACTCACATCTTGATCCATCTGCAGTTCAGATTTCTCAACGGTCTTGTTTGAATCCTCTAGTATTTCATGCTTCTGTTTATTGAAATAGTCCCAGATCCGTGCCTGTTGAAATAAAAAAAGAAGAGAAAAACAGAAAGAGATGGGACACCTTCAGCAAAATAACCTAGAGAAAGAGAGAGAGAGAGAGAATTCACAAAACACACCTTATCTGGCTCTATCCCTCGAAGTGCGCACACACTCTCATAAAGCTCTTGTAAAGAAGCCTGGACAAATTAAAGCAAAACGAAGATGGTAATATATATATATATATATAAAGAAAATATGAAACTTCCATTTTACCATAACCACAAATATAATACTCAGTTTGACACCCCTACTCTAGCCACTATCCTACTCAGATTTGTACTATTGCGAGGATATTATTTTCACAGAGTTCGCTTTCTAACATTGAAGCCTAGTATCAATATCTAGGAAGGCTCCATACCGTTACTCTATTTGTGATTGAATGGACGAACCATAAACACGCTCTATTATCATTACCAAGCCAAAGTCTCATGTCCCAATCAAATGGAGTTGGCTAAATGAATCCTTTTTGTCATTCCCTCTGTCACGATCATATGCTCAATTCATAAACACAGTTCGCATTCCATGTCATTTTAAGTTTTCCCCGCCCCCTCAATATTCCCATTTATAGTAATCGTATCATTCTTCGTTACAATTGCATCTTGTACATGACCAAACTATCTTAGCATATTCTCTCTCAATTTAACTTCAATCGGTGCTGCTTCTATGATGTGGAACATACACTCTAAGTTGGCTCAGACATTTTATTTATTTTGTAATTTTATGTTCTAATATTTATGTCTATTTATAGTTAATTAGGGTATTAGCAATGTTTAGTTTCTTTTTTTATTAGGATTAAGTTTCCAAATAATAATAGGGTTTGTATTATTTACCTTTGAATTAATGATATTGAGTGTTTACATCGTGGCCTTTGATTTAGGGTTGTGGCCCTATTGCATTCTTCTCTTCTTCTCTTAAGTGCTCTCCATCATTCTACTATTTCACGAATATATTCATTTCTGATTTTGTCTTTCTTAGTTTTACCACACATTAATATTATTTTGTTCAAATTTTTTCACTTCACTTTTTGAATAATTGCACCTTTTTTAAAAAAAAAAAATTTATTTTATTTAGATTTAGATAAGCAAGGATATGAAAAACCTCAAGATGATATTCAAGATCACGTGGACAAATTACATCAAGCTAAATCACCCTCTTTTTCCTTTTTCAATTCCCATTTTTGAGAGCATGCATTTTTGTGGGTTTCTTCCTTTTATATTTCATTTTTTGCATGGCAGTTGAGGGGTGGTAAATATAGGAAAAATAAGACATTAAAACATAGGTGAATCTACTGTGTATTGCATTAGTAGAACAAAGTTAGGTACTTGCTCAATGTGGGAATAATTGATAGGTGCCAAAATGTACACATTGAGGACCCCTTAAAGTACACTTGTTAAGTCAATACCCCCATTGTTACTTGATGTTTTTGTTGTGTTTGTGTGTATACAGATCGCTCAGGCTCTTGGGATGAAATTGAATTTAATTTGGAGTATCCAAAGCCCAGAAAGCAAAGCACAAGGCTGCCTTGATCTGCTTGAGCCGATTGTAATCTCTGCTCAATCAGAAGTCCCCACCAAAGCGTGCTTTCTGCAATTTTTTAGATGAAGTCACTAGACAAATTTGCTCAGGCAAAGCCTGAAATCCGCCCATGGAGAGATACGTGAGGCACAACAAATTTAGGTTTGTTTGTACAAGATTTGACCTAAATAGGACCTACTTTTGAAAGAAAGTATAAATAGGGAGTTAGGTCTTTAGAAAAGAAGAAGTCTTCAACACAAGAGAGCGGCTCAAGAGGCCAAAAATATAACTTTCCAAGGAATTGTCATGGAGTTCTCATCAAACATGGTGGTTTACACCTCAACCATAAGCAGCTAATCTACCTCCTTAGACTTTTAAATGAAACCCTAGTCAAGTAATATTGGGTGTTTCGTATTTTTGTTTTGGGGTTGATTATTTAGTCAAGAAGATTTTATAATCTTGAGATTCTTTTATAAGATCGATTTTTAATGCTTGATTCAATGGTTGTGTTTAATTTCTATTGTCTTAAATACAACGGCTATTCAATGGTAAAATTGGTTCATGTTTTGATTGTTGAAATGATTCATACAAAGAAAAGACGAGACGTTGTTTGGTGTAGATGTCTTGTTCTGATCGAAGATGGTTCATACCTGATTTTTTTTAATACAAGATTTCTCTTGAGGATTTCATTGAGGCTTGCAGCCACATAGGATCATAGTCATGTCACTTAATTAATTTTTGAAATCATACAAAAGCCTATGCTCTTCTCCTCTTGAATTCCAATTCACTTTATTGTCAGTTTCATATTTACATTTAGTAATTCACCAAATTCTTCTTCCATATTTATTTAACAAATAATTTCAGGATTTATAGCAATTTCATACCAGTCTCAGGTTTGACACCCCTACTCTAGCCACTATCCTACTCAGATTTGTACTATTGCGAGGATATTATTTTTGCACAATCAATAATCAATCTTGTACACATCAGAATTAAAGTGTCAAATGGAGTATATTGTTGAATATAGAAATTAGAGTAAATAGAATCTTTTTATTTTTAGTATTATGTATATAATCTGTGATTATATCAATCACTGATTTATATCGTTTCCTAAATTGTATCATGAATCTATTACATATACATGGCCTCTACCTCATTAATGGGTAAGCCAAATAATTCTTTTCATTCTTTTTGGTATCAGAGCTAAGTTAAGTATCTAGTAATTTTGCTTCACTGCTTTGGCCGCCCGCCGAACCTCAACCTGTTCCACTGTCATATTATCTTCCAATATCACTTCCTGGTGATCTCTTTCTCTATCCACTAGTTTATTCATATCCCAAATATCTCTATCATATTTTTTTTTACTTACAATCCATTGTTTTGTATGTTTCTACTCCACTTTGTCTTTCCCTCTGTTTCAACCTCAAATAGGTTTGAAAAGGTTTCTATCTTCAAACCTATTTGAGTTTGAGAGGGTATTATACCTATATCACAGTGATATACCATGTGCATCACCTTAGCCGCCCCATCTGACGCACAACCCAAGTCCCCCTTTCTGGCGCACAACCCAAGTCAACCCCTTGGCGCACCACCTAAGTCGCCCCCCGGCGCACTTTCTAATAAGTTGCCCCTTGGCGCACTCAATCATCTGTTACCATCATCATTTAGCACCACGTCATAAGTTATGTGCGTGTCACACTTACTGGTTCAACATCCAGTTAGTCTCTACAACAGTCCAACATGACCCCTTAAACTGTCCTGACATTGATTCTAGTTAGTTCCTATAACAGTCCGGCATAACCCCGTAAACTGTCTCTATATTGATTTCGATCAGTTCCTACAACGGTTCGGCATGACCCGTTTAAACTGTCCCAACATTGATTCCGATCAGTTTCTTCTAGGACAATTCAGTCCCTATTTTTTTCCCTTTCTAGGGTGTGGTGCTGATGTATTAAGCACTTTTTTGATCTTTTTTATTTAGTGGACTACCAGATTTGTTCAGTAACATTTATTTGGACTAGCCATTGAGTTTTTTCCGACTTCTTCCAATCATCCATTGACAAGCTGCAATTGTTGAATATCTTCACACCACCTTGAGAGGAAGTGCTGAATATAGAAATTAGAGTACATATAATCTTTTTTATTTTTAGTATTATGTATATAATCTGTGATTGTGTCAATCACTGATTAGTATTGTTTCCTTATTTATATCGTTTCCTAAATTGTATCATGAATCTATTATATATACACGGCCTCTACCTCATTCATGGGTAAGCCAAATAATTCTTTTCATTCTTTTTATATCTCCATGAAGAACATAACTGCCAAGAAGGATGAGCTGCAGTACAACATCAAATAATGTTGAAGCTAGTATGGCAGGTAGGCAAAATTAACATTTCATAACGAACTGAAACTTTTGAAAAAACAGACAGAAAGAAAAGCCATGAATAAAAAACAATGCGTCTAAGATTTGCTTCAAATGATTTCTTTAGTGATTAAATTCTGTAGATATCAATGTCTGCGAATATGTAACAAAAATTAAATAATATAAAGGGATAACCCACTGAAATTCATGATTAGCCATAAGTATGGAGGTAACCACATTATTAATTTCCTGTTAAATGGGTAAACTTCACTGCAAAATTCTGCAACCTAAAATAGAGCAATGAAGGAAAATAAAACAGAAAACAGTACCTTTTTACTTAACCGGATAATTGATTGGCTGTTGTCTCTGGAATCAATTAACTTGAGACAAAGAGGGTAAACCTCCACATTGAACTGCTTGTTAACATCACCCTGTGAAATCAATTTCCTCGGTAATGCTGGCCCTCCCTTGTACCTAAAAATGAAAGGATAAAAATATAAAACACTAGCAGCATGGCAAGAGTAAAACACATGAGGGTTTGTTTGGGATGTGGGTTGGCTTTTTGGCTTTTTGGCAATTTCTCGTTTCGGATAGGTTTTTTGACTTTTTTGACTTTTGTGAGAGAAAAAATGAAATGATTATGGTTTGAATGTGACATTTTGTCTTATTGGGCTAAAACACCTATTTTGTCTTATTGAGCTAAAAAATCTATTTTGTTTTTTTGTGGCTATTTTAACCAAAAAGCCCCATTTTAGCTTATGCCAAACGAAGGCTCACATGTTTAAATCTGGGAATCGTATCAAACTATTGCTATTACTATGGCATTGACCTATATCTAATACTATAGTAACAAACTAACATAAAAGCAACCGCATATAAATGAAGTTGAAAAGAGCATATTATAAGAGACACGATGAAGATCGCGGAAAGAAGAAAAAAAACAAATCTGGAATTTCATATGAAGCATGTTTAGGGCATCAAGGATTAAAGTTTTGGAATAATTTTCAGTCATTATTTGTATTTATTCTAATTGTAGTAGTTTTTAGTTCCAAGGGCATTAAGGTAATTTCAATAATTGTTACACATGGTTTGTAGGGGTTGCCCATAGGTTTTATTTTTGGGTCAAGTTATTAAATGGGTCATTATATGTGTGTTTTATTATGTCTAGAATAGTCTTAGTGGTCAAAAGTCTTAAGTTTCTTATTTTGAAGTTAGAGTAGAATTAGAAATCATCAAAGTTTCCTATTATGATTGAAGTGGTATTGGATGTCATAGTCTTGGTCTACAATATTAGTAGCTGCCAAACATTATGAGTTTCCAAATTTGAGCCATACTCCTTATAAAAGTAGGTGTATTGTCCTACAAATATATGTGTAATCTCAATGATTGAAGAGAAGAGTTGATGTTATGAGAACTTGATATTGTATTTGTGTGATTAGCCTAACCCTTGCAAGGGTGAAGTGCCTCTTTCTCTCTCTTCTTCTCCTTCTCTCTAGCAAAGTTATGTTTGTTAGGAGAAAACAAAACTTAAGAGTTGTGATTAGGATACCACCCCCTTTTATATTAGAAAATTAAATAACTTACAATGGAAGCCTTTTATGCAAGAACGGAAATATAGCTAAGCTACAGCTAATAATCGTAAATAAGGAAATACAATATTATTATAATACTAACACTCCCTCTCAAGCTGATGCAAAAATATCTCTCATTCCCAGCTTGCCAAGAAAATCATAGAATGATTTACTCCCGACTCCCTTTGTGAGAATATCTACTAGTTGTTCGCCAGACTTCACAAAAGAAGTACAAATGGTGCCACTAGTGAGTTTCTCTTTGATGAAGTGATGACCAATCTCAACGTGTTTCGTCCGGTCATGTTGATCTGAATTGTGAGTTATGTTGATAGAAGCCTTATTTATCACAATATAGTCTCATGGAATCGGTCTGATTGATTCCCAAATCACTCTACAGCAACCTAATCCATAAGAATTCGCACACACCTTGTGCCATAACTCTAAACTTTGCCTCTGCACTAAACCTTACTACCACATTTTGTCTCTTGCTCCGCCAAGTAACCAAATTGCCTCTAACAAAGGTACAATATCCTGATATGGACCTTCTATCAGTTACTGATCCTGCTCAATCAACATCTGTATAAGCTTCCACCCGAAAATGATCATGCTTGGAAAAGTATAGACCCTTTCCAAGCGAATATTTTAAGTACCTAAGGATGCGCATAACATCAGCATCTAAGAATGCCTCGTGAGAAGCATATGCATGAACTGGCTAACTATGCTGACATCTACAGCAATGTCAAAACGAGAATGAGATAAATAAATAAGCTTACCCACAAGTCTTTGATATCAACAGCAGCTCCCCCACTATCATCACTAAGTTTCTGATGGGTTTCTAGTGGCGTGTCACAAGTTGTGCTTCCAAGCATTCCAGTTTCCTTCAATAGGTCAAGCACATATTTTCTTTGACAGATAAAAATTCCCTCCTTGGATCGGGCACCCTCAATACCCAGGAAATACTTCAGAGTCCCCAAGTCTTTTATTTCAAACTCACTTGCCAAATACTTCTTCAACCGAGTCATCTCCTCAACATCATCTCATATAAGTACTATGTCATCCACATACGATGAGAGTTGTAGTCTTACCATGTGAAGAATGTTTAACAAACAAGGTGTGATCAGCTTGATTATGTTTGAAGCCATATTTAAGCATTGCCTGTGTAAATCTCTCAACCCAAGTTCCTTGCTCCTTGAGTGTATCAGCTTTTGTATTCCCAATAGCTGGTTCACATTGAGGTTCACCTGTTATATCCTCAACAACTGGTAAGGATTCATGAACAGGTAATACTCCATGTCAGAAATCTCTTCATACCAAGGCTCTCCCTGAAGGGATGACTGGGAAACCGGATAAGACAAGAAGTAGGACGGTGACTCAAAGAATGTGACATTCATGGACACAAACCACTTACAAGAATAAGGATGATAACACTTATACCCCTTTTGAGTAGGTGAGCACCCAAGAAAGACATATTTAATAGAACACTTAACGTTGAATCTAAGTACACTTTATTATGTAATCTATCTTGTTCTTCTTATTCTTCTCCTTCTACACTTTTTAAGGCATTGCAACTTCAAAACCCATTTAATATCATCAAACAATATTCCACAAGGCCTAAATCATCTTCCCTTCAATTCTAAAACCCAAGCCTTTTTGTCACTTCATATAAACCGTGGAAACCTCTATATTTTGATCACCATTTTAGGCACACAAAAAAAAATAAAAATAAAGTAAGTCCCAAAAGCCAACTTTTTTCTGTTGTATCATATCAGTTTAGGGTTCAACACTTGTCGGAGATTTTTCCCTGCACTCGTCCTACATCGTTGCCTCCTTATTCAATAAGCATTGTGTAATAGAGCTAGTTAATCTGCACATGTTTCTCTATTAACATTCTTCATCATGGAAAACATATTTTAAGCACAACATAATAAAGTATCTGGAGAAGAAGGAAATTTATGTGAAAACATACCAGTCAAAAAGGTTCTCCCAAACTTGTTGAGGAACTAAAACATAATCACATCCTTCCTGCAATGCTCTACGAAGCTCCAGATCACCACACTTAGCGTCATTTCCATTTAGAACTATATCAGAATTATCAATTGGTCCAGGTTTGTCTACTGTCTTTGACAAAATCAAAGACTGAGAATCGGTAGAATGCTTGTCAAATAAATGAGGGTCAACATCTTGTCCAGTGTATTTCTGCCAGCTTGTGAACCACCTACACAGAGGAAAAGGAACAAGACAACAATGTGGGAACTTTTACGATTGACAATATTTTTAAAAAAATAAAAAATAAAAAAATTTCAGTAGAAGTCTAACAAAAGGACAAAGTATACCACCAGAATACTCAACAAAATAGAATAGGAACCCACGAAAATTCTAAGAGGGAAAAAGGTGCTAGCATACCATTCATTAATTTCAAGTGCCACATTGGCCATAATTTCCTCATAAACACGGAAATGGTAGAATATGACAAAACATAGGCCATGTTTGGTGGAGCTTTTTTTAGGTTAAAAGCTGATAATCAGAAAGCAGAAGCTAAAAGCACCCCTACTCCAGCTTTCAAATAATCAGTTTATTTAAGCTATTTCTGCCTAATACTCTTTTGGTAGGGCTTATTTCCAGCTTATTTCAGCTTTTAACTTAATTTAAGCTATTTTGATGTGTTTGGTTCAACTTAACAATACAGCTTATAGTTTTTTGTAAGTCAAAAATCAACTTATTCTTTGAGGGGGAAGGAGAAGCTTAACTTATAAGTCAAAAATCAACTTATGTTCACAGCTATAAACTATAAGTTGTTAGGCTAAAAGTTATAATCACTTTCCCACAGCTCTACCAAACGGGGCTATAAACAGAAGCTGCACCAAACAGTCAGGTACAGACTCCCAAATCAAAATATGCTATAATCACCCCCCAACAACAGTCCCATAATGGTTCCAAAGTGATTGTTCCTAATTCCGCAGTGAGTCAAAATGACAATTAAGGCCTCGTTTGGCAAGAGGCTATTTTAGCCAATTAGCCAAAAAGTTACTAAATTAGCCAAAAAGCCAACAACCCATACCAAAAAGTCAAAGATTCTCTTTTCTCTCTACTTTTTGCACATCTTTTCGTAATTAGCCAAAAAGTCATCCCAAACATACAAGTTTTTTTTACTTACCTTTTTAGCCAAATAGCCAAAAAGTTACTAAATTAGCCTATTCCCAAACGAGGCCTAAGTAGTTACATTAGTCTGCCTGTGATTGAATCAATTATACAACCATTTATGTTTCAATTTAGTTCATTCGAGCCCATGCCCATAACTCGACATTTTATAAGATAATAATCCTCTAGTAAAACAATGACGTGGTGATGTGTTTTTTCAGTTAAAGGTCATCAGACAATCAGACAAACTACTTCAGCAATGCGTTTGTCCTCATTCAAGCAAAACTGATCTCTTCACTCGACTGTGAATACAGCTTTGTACCAAAACTGACATTTGATCCAATTTGTTTGTTTTTAGGGACACCACATCTGATCTGATCTGATGTGTACTATTCATTTCAGCCACCAGATTTTGTCCATGAATCTGTTAAAGCACACACTAGTTCTAGGACTCCAATCTTAGAATTGGCCTGCTTGAGACTAATTGATCAATAGGTATCAAAGTTTGTCATGCAATAGCATATCTCAACTTCAGAAGATCCAACTCAAGTCACCAACATCACCTACAAGGTGGTCACTATTTTATTCACTATAGACATACATCTCAGATTACCTGAGCCAGTTTAGGCAATGGATTTGTGTGATTGACTACATGCCAAGTTTTCCAGCACAAGTGTCATATGATCAATTGTTTCACAGTGCATGTATAATTTCATAGAAAATATAGGGTGTGTTTGGTTTGTGTTTGTAGAGTAGTTTTTGAGATAAAAAGTACGAAAACTTGTTTGGTTTAACTTTTTTCAGAAATGATTTTGGAAAATTGTTTTGGAGAGAGAGTTTTAAAAAAAAGTGATTGATTTGATGTGTATGAGAGAAAGAGAGTGATTTTAGAAAGTAGGTAATCAAACAAAATTTTGAAATTTTTTTTGAAAAAATTTGTTTAGTTTGATTATTCTTGAAAATTTGTTTGTAGAGAATTTTTTCCAAAAATTTTTCTGGAAAACAAACCAAACAAGGCCATATTGCCTACTCATTAAGCATGTGTTAATGCACCCACGTAAAATTCACCACAAATCTCAAAGGATGTGCATGACATGTTGTACTATGTACATCCTGGCCACTTGCAAAAGCTCGCCTTAACAGGTAGACTGGGGAAACTGCATATGATAGCCCACATGGTAAATCTGCCTTCTATGATTCCCAAGTTCCTTGGTTGCTCAAGAATTTGTTGTTCTTTTTTATCTTTATCCTGGTGGCATTCTCTTACTAACTATTTGTTTTCGTGCTTCAGCCAGCCTTCGTGAAGTGTTATGAGCCTAAGGGACGTCGAGTAATAAGCAAATAATTATACGGACTTATGAGAAGTTGGTAGCATATCTAACTTAATCCAATTATCCTATATTAAATAATATTTTAATAGTTATTTAAACAATTTAAACCTGGTCCAACATACCTTTTTCTTTCTTTTTTTCATTTTTTTTTTCCTGAACATAATTTGTACCTTTCTTCTAGCCTCCCAATGTTAGTCCTGGCTCAGGCCCTGATAGCATTATTTATCGGATACAAAACTTCACAGCCATAGGAGATGGTCCCATATGGGCAAATTGTAAATTAAATCTTTATTTATATACATCCAAACTCTCCAAAAGTTTCAAATTAGATCTTCAGTCAGTGAAACTATGACCACACAAACGCTAATGGCAGTAACATCACGATAGAGTTCTTGAAAAACGTCAAGCTTAAAATTTTGAAAATAAAAAAAAAAAAATTAATTACATGGATCTACATGCCCATAAAAATTCAACTTGTTTTTGATATAGCACACAACTCTCTCAAAGGCTTTCAAGAAAAATATTCAAGATTGTAATCAGATAATTGAAATTCGGAGGAGGATAGCTAAGATTACCGATTGGAAATAACGTAATACAAGTTGCCTTCTTTCAAATTAGATTCTGCTTTGTTTGTTAACTCAGTTACGATCCGTTTTTCTTCCTCCGGTGAGAAAGGTATTCCAATTGCTCCATTCTCCATCATATTACCCGAATCAGGAATCGTCATGATCGTTACCAACCTGGTAGATTCAAATAAATAAAAAAGTCAAACATCAGGAAAAAAAATAATCCAAATTACATCATTATTTTGAAGATAAGAAATTGAATTGAGTTCGTATGAAATCGAAGGACTGGTAGAAAAATGTAGTACGAAGGAAAATACAGAGAGAGTTGTGTTTAGAAGTTCGAACGATGAGAGATGGATTTGATGAACCCTAGATTGCAGGATTGGGGGGCTTTGATTTCGATCCCAAATTGACCAAACCACCAAACCACAGAAGAAAAACTGTTTTACCGTCTTTCAAAGACTTGTCTTCTGTTTTCCTTGTTTTTGTGTAATTTTTTTTTTAAACTTTCGAGTCCCTCGCCATTTATATAGAGCCTATAGCCTAGGTTACGTTTGTTTTAACATACTTTAATCCAAAAAAAAATAATAATAATTAAAAATCATTATAGGGTGGTTTGGCGTTTGTTTTAACATACTTTAATCCAAAAAAAAAAAAAAAAAATTAAAAATCATTATAAGGGTGGTTTGGATGTTATAAATATATGTATTTTTTGACTTTTTATAAAAGAAAAATGTATAAAAAAATAAAAGAAGTGGGTAAAAAAATAGAGAGAAAATATTGATTGATGTAATCCAAATAAGTGTATATATCCAAAAATATATATATTTTTTTTGTGCATATCAAATACTTAAGTTGTTATACTATTTTTTTTTCTATAAAATGTTAAAAAGTTAATAAAATAATTTGTTTCCTAATGAAACTCTAGAATCATGTGAAGTTATGTTTTAAAAGAGAAATTTTTAAAAAGAGAAAATTTGTTTAATTATCAATTTTGAAAAAAAAAAAAGAAAAGGATTTTGAGTTATATTTTGAAATTATTTTGAGTTTATTTTTTAAAATATTTTTAAAAATATTTTTTATTTTTTTAAATAAATATTTTTTATTATAAATAGGGCACTTAGGTCAAAAGTCCAAATTTTATTTTTGTTTAGCCAAAGATTCAGGAAATTCTATTTCCATACACTTAATTACCTCAGTGCACACCTTCTCTCAGTATACATACTTATTAATTTGATTATTAATTGATTTTCTCAATCCACACACTAAAAGTTAAAGTTATACCCTTCACTCATAATCATTGTACACACACCATTCAACCCTCATTTCCACACTTTTTTTTGCTTTTTGTTTTTATGTTTTTCAGTTTGGAGATTTCGGCACTAGTTTTTCAAAATTATACATTTAATTCAAAACTTAGCTTCCGAATAGGGGTGTAATTTTGGACCGCGACCCGTGGGCGGCCCGAAGCCCACGCCGCGGCCCGATGTGGGCCCGGTCCGTTAAGGCCCATTTAGGCCCGAGTCCAAGCCCAGCCCGAGGCCTTGAGCCTGGGCCTGGGCCTGGGCCATCGTTTTGAAACCCGGCCCTCGGTCCGCTCAAGGCCCGGCCTGAGGCCCAGCCCACCCAAGGCCCAATGTTATTTTTAATGAAAAATAATAAAATTTTGGTAGAAACAATTAAAAAAATTGTTTAGGCCCGCCTAAAGCCCGAGCCCAGGCCCAAGCCTAGGGGCCCTCCCCACTGGCCCGCCCAAAGCCCGAATACCCCTGGGCTTGGGTTTGGGTTTGGGCCTGGGCCTGGGCCTAGTTTTCTGGCCCGCGGGCCGGCCCGGCCTACTTCCGAATAAAAGTAATTAGTTTGACAAATTTGTTCCAAAAAAAATAAATAAAAAAAACTTTCGGCGGTTGATGTCCGAATATAGTGAAATAATTCAGCATTGGTTATTCAATTGAAATCGTGAAAAAAAAAAAAAAAAAAGAGAGAGAGAAGTTATGTACGAAAAAAATTAACATTTTCATCACTAATAGAGTATAAATTGAGAGATTAAAATAATATGAGAGTTGTTATGAGAGTATTAATTTGCAAACAATAGAGGAATATAAAGTATGTAGCAAGTAAAGTGACAACAATGGAAAAATTAGGGTTTCATTTTTTATTTTTTTTTACTCAAAAGGTGTACATTGAGATTATTTTTTTTTTTTTTTAAAAAGTGTACAGAGAATATTCTCATATAATATTATGGTGCTAGTAGATGTCCATTATGGTCATTTTAGTTTAGGGTATAATTGCCATTAAAATAATATTTCATTAATTGTATGCACTGAGTAATTAGGTGTGTAGAAATAGAATTTTCCCAAAGGTTCAGGTACTGAAACATTTTGTCCAAAAGGACAAGGTCAATCAAAATGACTAACATATCATTCTTTATATATATATATATATCATATACATCGTCCCTAAACTCTCTCAAATTACTCTCTCTCTCTCTCTCTCTCTCACACACACACACGCACACATGCACACACACATACACACACACACATTCACACTCTTACTCGTCAAGCTCTCAACACAGCCCATATGCCATCGCATCGATCACCTTAGATCTGAGATCGTATATATATATATATGATATACATGGTGCATTGAAACAACCTCGATCCATAATTAATGTCTACTGCATGTATAAGCATGTTTAATAAGAAATTAAGATGAAATCTTGAGTTAATTGCATGTGTTATATGATATTTGTGTTTATATCTGTCTGTCGTAGAATTATCTGTATGTGTTTCTATTTCATTATGCGAATTGAAGGCCTTATTGTCGACTTCCTTAATTCTGATCTGGTAAGGCTTACCATTGTTTATACAAAGTGCTCCATTCAACGGCTTCTTTGGGAAAAACTTCAATTACTGTCCTAAGACATACAAGGTCTATGGATGGTTGCGAGTTATTTTAACGCAATTTCAGATGTGTTTGAAAAACTTGGTGTGTCACATCCCAAACTCGCCCCTAAAAGTTTGGGCATGATCACTTCAAAAACGGACGTCAAATTCGATATGTATAATATATAGGGCCTTAACGGAAGCATTTAATAACATAAAATAATATCCATTGAGCCACCACTAATATGCGAGGATCACAAACATCGCATCAGGTAGATAAACATACAATGAACATACACCTAAGAATCAGTTATGTACATATACATACACAAACCCACCCCCATGATTGGGCGTATAGCAAAAACATTGGTGAAGAAAGGGGTTATATTCATTTCAACCTTAGGTAGACAATTAGAGTACAAAGCCAAATATAGCGATCCCGGTCTTTCCCCGTTTGGTTGTTGTATCCGGACTTAGGGTTCCGTGGAGCTTGTTGTTGTATATATCTTGATGTCATCCTTGGATTCCTTATACTTGAGTTATAGGATGTGTTGGGCAGGTTTGTTATAGGTTGGGTGTGATTGGGAGCAAATGGTTGCTGCCCAGATTTTTGGTCCTTCGCTCGAGCGAGCCTTTTGTTGCTCAAGCGAGCTCTGTGTTTTAGATCCTTCGCTCGAGCCAGGGTTCCTTCGCTCGAGCCAGAGTTGAGTTTTGTATCTGATGGCTCGAGCGAGAAGTACTTCGCTCGAGCTTACGTCTGCGTCTGGTTCTGGACCTGAAGGTTGCAATTCTTCGCTCGAGCGAGCGAGGTCTATGTTTTGGGTTTCTTCGCTCAAGCAAGCATTCTGTCGCTCGAGCGTGCTTCTGGGTTGCAGACCTGGAGCTTCGCATTGTTGGCTCGAGCGAGGCTTTCTATGCTCGAGCGAGAGTTCTTTGTGTCTGGTCGCTCGAGCGAGCCTGTGTTATATCAGTAGACAGCAGCGGGTAAACACTTCACTTTTTCATCTCTTTTGTTTTGCAAACCCTAGATCCGAGCTCTCCTCTCTCTACACTTACTTTCTCTCTTGGGATTGATCTAGTTCTTGAGTGTTTCTACCCTAAGTTCTTTGTAAGAAAGATAGAGGGTTGTGGGTTACATTTTAATCTGAAAAATCTCGGATTTGGAGCACTTTGAGTTTTGGTCATCTTCTCCATTTGAGCTCTTCATTTCAAGGTAGGGATACCCTACTCCATCCTATGAGTTTTGTCATAAATTTTGGGCATTTTGATATGTTGGGGTTATTGGGTAATTTTTAGAAAAGTTAGGGTTTGATTTGTAATTTATAAAAAGGGGTTTTCAAAATGTTAAATTCTATGGGTGTTTGAGACCAACAAAAATGGAATTAATGTTGTTGTATTGTTGAATTTGAGCCTTTGGGTTGAAATGTGATAAAGAGGGAAAATGCCCTAATTATTGAAATAAATTAATTAGTATAATTAATTTGGGAAAATGTGAAATTGAGTTGAAATCCATGAAATTGGGAAATTACGGGATTGAATGGTGTAGTTGGATTAATTTATCACTCACATATGTAAATGTTGATATTATATTTGTTTAATGCATTTATTTTCTGTTTAGAAATAACTACTTTGGGCTATCGGTAGAGGATAGTCTTGAATGTTATAGACACTGTATGTTGATTGGGGAAAACTAAAACTAATCACATTGAATATGACGATTGGAATAATACATCAAATATGTGTATTGAGTGATTCCTGTATATGATAACTGTTTATATACTTTGAATATGTGCATTGTGTGGGAGGAGATAGGGGATGTACTCCATGGTCTGAGGAAAGATAGGGGATGGACTCTCAAATCTATTTGGGAGGAGATAGGGGATGAACTCCATTAATACAGCAAATGTGTGTATTAAATTAAAGTATTGATACAGCAAATACGTGTATCTATTGTGAAGTATGGAAGTGTTTTAATATGATATTGATACAGCAAATATGTGTATCTATTGTGAAATATGGAAGTGTTAGTATATGAGTTATAGTCTCATTGAATTGTTTGGCCAGGTTCTGAGCCATGTATATGAAATAATTCGGATAAGTAAAGTAAAATGGAATGCAACATGGACACAAGTGTCATGGAACTGTATTGTGACATAACTGGTTTATAAGTGTTAACCACCTATCAAATGCTATTGTTTTAGTCATTGCTTATATTTGGTTTAGTATATCTCTGCTGGGCTGTGACTCACCCTATATGGGACATCATTTTCAGGTCCAGGTGATATGCCACCTCCCAGGACATAGTTTGGAAGGTTTTGGGAGTTAAAGACTCTTTTTGTTGTTTTGTTATCTTTTGTTGTATTACATGTAAATTCAGGCCAAGGGCTTAATATGATATGAGTTAGTACTCTCTTTTGTGTAACCAAGTGTTGGCTAGGAAAGTTGTAAGCTTTTGGGCATTTACTTTTGTTGTCAACATGTAATACATTTGTAAGGACTACTCTGATGAATGGGAAGATGTTTATTTCCCTTATAGCAATGCATGTTAGGAATGGTGGGTTTTGTGTATTATTTTGAGTACGTTACAATATATGAACCTTTTGCGACGTTTGAGACCGT